AAAGGAAAAAAAATGTTAGTTTTCTCGGGAACACTGTGCACGAGAATCGATCGATGAGGGACGCTGGTGTAAGGAGAGAAAAAATAATTAATTCCTAGAGATGTAGTCTTTGTCTAGAGATGAGCGAGCAGAGTCGACTCAATGTGCTGCATCAACTCGGACGTTCTGTGTAGGGTGTGTGTGGTGTCGTTCTCCAGTTTACCCTTAGCGACGGAGCGCGTGGTCAGGGCAGTAGACAAATCAGAGAGTCGAATATTGATTAATTAGGCAGAGGGTAACCCGTTTTGCGATCTACGGCTCGTTGATGAAAACATGGCCGTGGATCATTGGGTGTATCCTGAAGAAGCCTTTCTATTTGCAACGACTGGCGCTTCAACCCGACTCTGCTTACGGTTGACCGATCCGATCCGAGCTTTCGATTGAGCTTCGGCATTATTGAGCCTTTCCTCAAGGGTATTCCGAGTTCCAAAAGTGAGGGCAGACTAGGACCCTTCAAGTGCAACTTATCTTTGGAGTGAGCTTCGACGTTGTCGTTGTCGTTGTCTTGTCTTGGTACTCGTACTACTCTTGAAGGCGCCGGTTCGCCTTGCTTGTTCGTAACTGCTACAGCTCGAGTTGGAGGTTGCAGCTGCAATTCCTTTACTTTTTTCTCGATAAGGTGTGGGGACGGTTCCTACAACGGGGAATTAGACGAGACGAACACCCTGGACTATGATTACCCTATATAAGGAGGATTTCCGCCAAAAATCTGGGGGTAGCGGCATGACTAGTTGCAGTCGGAGCTTGCATACTATTGGCCGGGATGCGTGTAGAAGCATATGCAGCCAACCAACAGTTAACTGGATTTCTAGCAAGAGCAAGAATTCTTATGCCGCATTTAAATCAGAATCTTTTTTATGAGCTCGAGCGGAATTCTTGGAAAGTGTATTAACTTTTTGGTAGTGTCTAGGATCTGAATTGAGGCAGCAGCTATGCCTATCCTGTGGAGAAGTGCTTCGCCCGCCTCACGCCATAGACTTGATGCCCCTCCAGATCATCTGCCTATCACTCAAACTGACACCAAAAGTGACGAGGCTGAGAAATAATCCGTTCAATGAGTTGCACTTATCAAGTTTTGTGAAACGGTTTTTGGTTGTCTGATCCTATCGGTTTTAGTACCCAGCATGCAGGACCCTATGATAGGTACCAGCGATTTAGTTCTGCAGCTGGGTGGGTGTGATGCAAGACGACAGGATTGTACTTATAAAGATTGTGCTGGCCTCTGTCCGCCCCATTGCAGTTCGCCCTTCGTTGAATTCCTACAGCCTCACGTTTTTTCGGGGCCGGTGCACGAGAGAGTTTCACAGAGATACCTAGCTGACTTCATCTTGATATCTCCGGGCCTTTACCTGCGACACCCCGCCTACATACATACCTCATCGTCATCTAATCTGTAATCAATTAGACTTGGTTCCTGACTTGCAGTGATCGATCTTGTCTTGACTTTCTCCGGATTTCAAGACCTGTTGATGACCAGACGATCAACCTTTGCTCCCAAAACCCTTCCACTACACCATCAAACTCTCCTACAAGCTTTATAGAGCCATTATTATTGAACAATGTCTATCCCTCGCCCCCCTACAACTACAGCTCCACTGGGGCGATACTCCACCTCAAGTAACAGGCCCACCTTCGAAGATCTAAATCCCCGTCACTCCTTCCAAGCTACCCCTCCATTTGAGTCTGACATGGACTACCGCCGCTCCAGTTTTGGTCCAGGTTCTCGTCCCCACAGCTACCACCCCCAGATTCACCAAGAGCCCCCACGGCATCCGGTAATTATCCACGCTCCATCACCGATCACTCGTTATGTTTGCTTTCAGAAAAGACCCAGTGGTCGCCCGTGGAAAAATGAATGGGAGACTTGCGATCATATAACTATGAGCATTTCTCCCGAGGAAACAGAAAAACAGATCAGGAAGCATGATGAACCCGGGAGGGATATTGGCACTTGTATATCTAAGCTTGGGAAATACCAACTCAGACATTTGAGAAAACAGGAGGACAAACTGAACAAGAATGAGAAGGATATTAAGAACTTCAAGTGGGTTGTTTCTGCTGTAGGGAAGGAGAAGAAACAGAGTGGCGGAGCGTCACAGACATTCTGGGCAATATATTCCAGGCAGTCGAGATTCCGTCCTACTACCGCTCCTGCGCCAGGGAGACCCCCATTGCCAGGAAGATCACAGACATATACCCATCACTCTACCGCTCCTACCCGCCGCGAAGAACAGCCTTATGACGGTCCCATCGTCGTTCAATCTGTTGAGATCCCCGCACCCCCACGTCCAAGTAGCTTTATTGGAGGCCGCCCGGCAAGCTTCTCAGGTGGACGGCCAGCAACATCAGGTGGCTACTATGGGAGTGATTTCATGTCCCCTACCGGTCCTCCGCAAGTACAAGATGTCAACCCAGTCCGCCAAGGGTTTCCAATGTTCTCCACCCCCGGCCCACAGCTACGAGAGGTTGATGGAAGATCATCATTCACACATGCCCAGCTGCTTAGCCAAGCTGCAGATGCGTTTCCGAGGGCGGCCACGAGGATGCCGCTGGGGGTTGAGGCACAAGGTTTTGGATATCAACAGCCTCATAGCGCGGAGCCAAGGACTTCGATGCCCTCTATAACTAGGACTCAAAGTACGAGAGTTGAGCAGCCCTTCCATGCCGAACAACCATCGAAACGCTCACCACGCCACAGTGAAGCTAGACAAAGCCGGCGGACACAGCAAACTCCACCACAGGAACGCCATAGAAGAAGTAATAGCATGGCAGCGCCCAGGGTCCGCCAGACAGAGAACTATCATGGCCACGCACCGCCGTCTGCAGAAAACCGGAAGAGCATGAACCGTCGATCCACAGCAGTTGAGCTACCAGAGGTTTATCCAGAGGATAAAATGAATCGCACCGACCGTTGGGTTGAGTCTAGTATCAGCGGTAGCAGCGGGCTAGGAACATCGACTGTTGGCAGCGGTGACGGCGGAAGCGTGATCGGTGACTATGTACTCAACCCTCCGCCAATGGGGAAGAGAAGAAATAGTGTATCTACCTATGCGGGGAAGGACTACTATCAAAACACCAGCGGTAACAGACGGAGCATGGCAGGAGATTATTATGTGGATGCCAAGCCGGCGCTTGAGATGCAGATGCAGTATGAAACCACTCCGCAAAACCAAAGGGGAAGGCTAGAACCGAAATATGTGGGGTATCATGGTGTAGGGGCAAAGAGGAGTGCCAGCCGCAGAAGAAGCCGCTATGGGGGCGCAGAAGACGGGGACTATGAGTATGAGAGCGCAGATGAGTCGATGGAGGAACAAATGAGGAATCTGAGAGTGAACAGTAGCACAAGCAGGAGGGGGCCTTCGAGACCACAGTACAGGAGATACAGAGGCTTGGTTGAGTATGGGAGGTAGGGTACAAATACCTCAATTTTGGGGGGGTTACTCTTTATTTATCGTCTCCTAATAGTTATATCCATATGGGGAGGTTCGTTTTTGATTCCTGTATCTAGTTTTTTTTATTATTATGTATAGTTAAGTATGGGGTAATGCTTATAGCAGTATCATAGGGGACGATATTTTTCGTTTGTTTCTGGTATATTGGCCATGGTATAGCTATTTTTTCACTTTATTTCATTTGTTTATTCTGGGGGTTAATTGTTTCATCTTAGTGTCCTATTTTCTGCAGCATTACGCTCTCTTCTTTCTTTTTTCTTCGTTTTTTTCTTTTCTAGTTTAGTTCTATGAGGCGTTGATTTCTTCTGTAAACAACTTGTAATTATTCGAATCCAGCACTTTGATTAGTTCTTGAAGAGTACTCGTAATTGCGGGTATGCAACCCAGTTGTGTTCACAAACGATATGAAATTAAGAGTACATACATTATCATCGCATTTAAATACATATATGTATAACACACCAAAAATGTCCCTTTTCGCCAACACCAATTTCTAAGAGATTACTTAACGTCTTGTACCCAGAGTACATTACAATCCTGAACTTCCTGCCAAGACCTCGAATTCGTCTACGCCTACCACAAAACCCATTTTGATTCCTTCATGATTAAATTGATCTATCGCTGCGGTATCGATGACTTATGCATGTCGCCGCGCTAACTACATATAGACCTCTTCCCCAAACTACATATATGTACCTACATATATATACATACATCGTCTAGTAATGAAAGTGGTACAAGAGGCGCGAATCAATGAGAGCCAAATCTGCTCAGACTGGCTCTGTATTAGAAAATTTAGTCTGTCTTCATTGGTTGTAATTGTGGAGTATTTCATGCAATTGCGGCTTAAGGAGTTAGTTTAATTAAATTGGGGCTACATACAGAGGTTCGTTCGACATATACTCTCATACAACCACCCTCATCATTCAACCTGTGTGGTGCGCAAATCTGTTATTTGCTACATGTATTCTTCAATTATGAAATCTCTAACAAGTTGTTTCGCCCACCTCAACAAGTGCCGTGAGGCAATCCGCATCAAAGTTCTCTAGACTCACAATACATGTATTTAAGCACAAGCTTAATTCAAGTAAGCGGGCGAGGCTGCTAGCTACCCTGTAAGTTCTAGCTTGAAGGATGCAAGCTGCCGCTCTCTAGTGCTAGTATCCTCGTTCTTATCGATAGGGGGGAAACGCACAAACATATGAAAGTATTCGTACTTTACCTGCTTCATTTCCCACTGCGGTTTCGAACTCTAAAGGAGCGTGCCTTGGCGTTTGTATTTAAAGGCTAACGGGTAAAGTCACGTGCTTTCAATTCCTAGTACCCAGAACTCCTCCTCCTCCTCCTCCTCCTCCTCCTCCTCCCCTCCTCCTCTATTTTCTCCTCTTCTCCTCAGATTCTCCATTCTCATTTACATAAACACACGGATTTCAGATCTCTCGATAAACACTTTCATAACATTAAACCAAACTACTTTTGCATACACAAATCCCTTTATATAAAATCACCATGCCAGTAAAACGTAAAGCTTCGGCTGCTAAAATTTCTCCTGTGGATCCATCGGAAGAATCCTCGACCCCGCCCCCAGTTACAAAACGGCAGCGCACAACTGGGGCCGAGCCGACACGCAGATCCAGCAGATTGAGGGCTCGAATTCTTCCGCCGAGTACGAATCTTAATATCAATCTTCTTCCAACGGAGATATTGGTCTGTATATTTAAGGAATATTGCCAAGGGATATCTGAAGATTCGAATGCTTCCTTTGGGTGGTTACCACTTGAGTCGGTGTATGTTCTGGGTCAGGTCTGCCAAAGATGGAGGGACGTAATTATTAATTGCGCTCCACAAATGGTATTTTAATTTTAGCTTTCCTTCATAGAATTTAGACTAACGCCTGTGATATAGCTTGTTACTTCAGTCTTTGATGACCGGAGAATTACAGACGATCACCAGGGTGTTTTGCCCGGGCCCCAGACGACGAGTCCAGCAACTGTAGCTAAAATTGCAGCTGAGTACAAGATAAAGATGCTGGCTTTATTAGTACCTACCGGAAACTCGAGGGATATATTCAAGTTCGACTATAACTTTCGCGCCAAGAACCGCAGGAAGCTGGAAATTCGCAACCTCCGTCTCATGGGTATCAACCATCATTCAGCAGGTAAATAATCTACACAAAATCAATAACATACATTATATAATAGCAGGCAGACTAACATGATCATACGTTGGCGTAACTGTAGAATTTATCTTGACAAGTAAATTCAATGGACTACAATCTATCACCATTATAAACACCCAAATCAATCGCATTTGCCAGATTCTGTCAATAATGAAGACGCCCATTATCTGTGAAAAGCTTATACTTTACGGGCCATGTATATCTACATCAGATATGAAGACTATTAGACGCAGATTATATACTAGGGATATCCATATCAACGCCAAGTCATCCATGGGAGACATACCGAGTCAACACAAGATCTCACGTCAGATTTGTTGCCCTGTGGGCTTCGAACACCGCAAATTTAAGTCATTTCCGCCTCCACTAGAGAGGTTAACTGTGTCGGACGCCAGCGCGTTTGCGATTATTGAGCTTGGCCTAGATATTCACGATCTCCGCGAGCTGAGCGTAGGTATAGTAGCATTCAACGGCAACGAGAGGCGCTGGCATGGTACCCAAGAAACGAGGTTTTGGAATGGCTTGCTCCGAGCGGGGGAGAAACTGGAAAAAATAACTATCAGTGGGTTGACTTGTGTGCAGGATATCAAAGGTCTTCCTGAAGTGCTGGAAGGGATGAACCCGGAGTGTGAAATCAAATTCAGCGGGAGAATCCCAGGCAACGTGATCGGAGAGTTGAAGAACAAAATTCAGATGATGGAACTCGTAAGGGTGAATTATGGGGAGTAAGTTCCTAAGCCACATGTTTTGTGCCGACACTGCAACTCATCTGGTTCTTATTTAATTTTTTCCTATTTCTTATTTTCCGTCACTTGTTAGAACTTTATTAGCAATTAGTTCTTTTTCATTAATATTACCATATCTTTCTTACTTTTTCTTACAACTATATCGGAGGCCTAGGCCTGTTTCGTATATATTCTGCTTGTTAGACGTGATTGCTACATGTAGATACTTAGATTACTTCGCTAGAATGCAGTTTATCTATATAAATACTAAATGGATTGGCCTATTGATGAATTGACAGCTCGAAAATACATCATAACTCTAGATCTGCTCACCGTGCGCATCACTCTTACCAGACGAGTCTGATTTATAGAAGTGTACATTCATATCTTCCTACTCGGTGCAGCCGGTCAGTTTCCAACAGAAACAAACATTCCTTTTAATTTTACATGTCAAACTGAAAATCTACGTGAATAAATAATTCTTGGTACACCTGACAGAAGTTTTAAGTTTTCTTGATAGTGATATATAGAAATATTTTTGCTTATATTTGCGACCTACATGTAATTTACCAAGAGTGGACAGCACAGCCGAGAGTTCGTGTATGAACTTTGTCCCGCTAACAAACCTGGGCACAGTTCTTGTCTTAAGAATTCTTTCCAGAATACATGAATGTCCCCCAAATGCTTAACTATCAAAGCTGTCTGAATATTCATTATGTCGCGCAGATTATGTCTACTAATGTAAAATGGCTAATATATATGGTATTTAGTGCCAGCTAAATGTCGCGACATAAAAAATCACTCGCATAAATAATTCGTTACTACAGCAACAGAGCGAGGGTGGTTTAATGATTGTGATTAGATTAGATCTTACGTGCCAAGATATTTGATTACATAATAAGAGGTTTGGAAGTTACTGAAAGAGAGGGAATTAATCGTATTGATTGTAGTCAGTCAGTGTACCTATATGTGTGTTATTATCGCCATAATACCTATTCGATCCAGGTACTCCGAATATTGGGGCGGGCAGTAAAGAATGGAAAACCAGGCCTAATGTAATAGTTGTTTCTATTTATTTGGACCCTCCTCCTCAATGTTCGCCGCCAAATTACTTGATTGCTATACATATATATATAATTGAGTATGACTATTATATTTCTTGGTCAGTGCTCATGGTTCAGAGTAGTACGTATGGGGCTGGTGAGGTTCAATTCTTGATTAAGAACAATTTTTATTTTTTTCGTCTGTGGTGTTTTATTCTGTGAACATGGAACTATTTTTGAGTGAGTTCTAATTTGATTATGAACCAACTTCACAGGTGGAATAAGAACATTTCATAACTGCCACTCATCATGATGACTTCTCTTCGACGCTAGTCAGCTTAGGACACTAACTGTACGGATCATAGGTAAACAAGATTTGCTCACGAGTCGTATATAAAACCACCCGGGTACCCACTTCCGAAGGTTCAACATCCATAGACAAATTGTTACCACCACAGCCAAGGCCCCCGACTTGGATCAGAATTAATAGAACTTCCAAATTTAGGCATGTTATCGATAAGGACCGCATATCAATAGCCGCCTGGTTACCCTACTGTCAGCCTAACTAACTAAATAATTGCAGATCCTTCAACGGCCTCGAAAAATTCAACTCGGCGCAAAACACCCCAGTACTGCGGCAAACACAAAATGGGTTCCAGCAACAGGAAAAAGAAGGAGAAGCTCAAGGACTTCCAAAAGCCAAAACTAAAGGTCGGAAAAACCAAGCCCAAGGCTGCAAACTTCACAAACACATCCTTCAAGTCAAAAGGTCAGTCCGCAGTACCTGCTGCTCCTGCTCAGAGGAAGGAAGAAGACTAACAAAAGCGCCGCCGTACAGCAATTGTCGTCGCAACCCAATCGCTCCACACCTCCGCCCCCAGCGTTTCCTATCTCTTTACCCATCACCTCATCCTCCTAAAGCACCACTCCTCCACCACTCGCCGCGAATCCCTCTCCTACCTCACCACACACCTCCCCAACGCCCTCGCCTACGCCTCCTCCACAACCTCCACCTCCAGCAATGGCGTGCCGCCCATGTCCACCATCATCAGCGCCCTCACACCCCTCATGCTCGACACATCGCAGCTCGTACGGACGCACCTCCTCGCCCTGTTCAAGCTCCTCCCAACGTCCCAGGTCGCAATGTACATCCCCAAGATCCTGCTCTTCGTAAATTCAGCCACAACACACATCACCGAGGAGATTCGAGCAGACTCGACAAAGTTCCTGCAGTGGGCTATTGGCGTCGACCCAGAGGGCGCGTTCGGTGGCGGCGGATGGGGCGCGAGCTTGAGGGGTATTGCAGGGTGTCTGGGCTGGAATGGGGCAGGCGTGAAGGCAGTCGTGCCGAAGGGGAAGGAGACGAAGGTGGTGATGGCGCACTTGGAAGTGCTGAAATATGTTCTGGAGAAGGGACTGGAGAGTGCGGATGAGGAGGAGGAGACGGAGGGGGTGAGGGGTATTTGGGGGGATGCTGAGGTGTATCGGCTCCCGGATAGGTCGAATGTGTATGCGTATTTGAACCTGTTTGGGGCGCCGCCGGTAAGTAGTGGGGGTGGGGAGTTGGCGACGGGGGAGCCGGAGGATGTGGATGCGAGGAGGAGGTATCTGACGGATGGGCAGGGGAAGAGCGTTTTGGCGCTCTTGAGCATGGGGCTAGCGAGTCTAAAGAAGGATGGTGGGGAAGTGGGGCGGACGGCGGGTAAGGTGCTGTCGTATCTGTTGGAGATGGTGGAGGATAGAGCTGTAGAATAGAATTAATTAATTTAGACATCTCCTCCCCGGTTCAATTAGTGCAGTTTCTCCTGCTAAATGATTGTATGAAGTGTTTTGAGTAGGTTCGCCGGTCTTTGTTGAGTAAAATCTTGATAATAAGATATTATGAGTGTCGGTGATACGTCGGTAGTTCGGTATAGTATCCAATCTGTGTATAGTGTAGCTAGTATTCTATGACCCGCCACTATATACAGGCAGTCCTCAGCACACTCAGCCTGTATATCAGGCAAAGAGTGTGGCTCTCTCCTTCCTCGCTGCAGGTCACACTGCAATGACATTATGAAGACGCCTCTTTGGTATGTAAATAAGTGTGGTCAACTTTTTTGATTAAGATCAGCCATTCCAAGGATATGCCGAAAGGTTTTAATGTTGTACGGAAGGCTATTCAATACAGTAATCTTTTATCCTTTGATATAGCTGGTGTAGTGTAGTTAGAGCTGTGCTCAGTCCTATGTCGTACCACCAGGTTGTAAGTGCATGTAGGTATATATGTACGTACAAGTAGTTTCCGGCCTTCGGCCGGTACTATATGTATATCAATCAGTCCAATATATAGGTAAGCCGCTTTGCGGCTTATTTGTCTATTTGCCTGTCAGTCGGGGCTCTCAGGCCGCTGCGCGGCCCCCGACCCCTCCTGGCAGGCAAAGTCCATCACTATATCTAGATCTAATCTGGTCAATATATAACTTTTCTGATATATTATCCCCATATATCAACGGATAAGTCAGACAATTTTTCCAGTTAAAACTACAGGTATATCCCTTTAACAGCTACCAAACCGCTAAAATCGAACCACTATCGATTCCCAGAACCAGTAGAAACCCTATTAACACTCTAACACCACTCAGCACAATACCCTATGTTAATATCCAACACAACATGTTTCAAGTGAAACAAAAACATCTCTCAATGAACCAATCAGAAGACTATAAAAGCACATTGCATATGCAGGTTATAATTATATACTTATTGGGTGTAGCAATTGGGTTAAACCATTAACCTGAGCCCCTCCAAAATGGAATTGCAAGTCGGTATGCCGAAAGCTTGATGGGATATACCATATGTATGGCTATGTACACGTATTTGCGAATTGTAGCACGCACGAGACATTGAGCTGTACCAATAGCTCTTTCAGCTCCGAATAGAGATGAGCTGTGGCTGTTGTATGGTTGGGCGTGATGCGGATGTAGGTTTTGTGCTGATAGTGGACTAGGTTATATATATACATTGAGTCTTTGTTCTGAAGAGATTCAGGGTAGGGTTGGTCTTAAATATGACCAGTGGAAGTTTATGGCGGCGGTTATTTTGGTTGGGAGGAATAGAAGAGCAAATGGTGGGTGTGTTATATATCGTGTTGAGTTTCTTTGTGAGTAATAGGTGGCTTGATAGCTGCATGTACGATACCTAGTTTTTTTATGGAAAGTCAATGGACCACTAGCCATATTGGTACTTGCATGAGGTATCACTCGTCGACAAATACAAGATGTACCCACGAGTTTTTTGTTTTTTGTTTTTGTTTAATTCATTAATTGCATACCCCCGAGTTTCAAACAGCAGCAGGGCTAGCGAGCAGCGACTCAAACCCGCCGAAACCCACGGCACACACCCGGCGCTTTTTTTTGCCCAGTCATTGACTCTAGATCTTTGGAGGTCCTCTCGATCATTCACCCCCACACCACAATATGAAAGCCTTCAGCTCATATATTAGACAGTCGCAATCATGTTTATTACAGTGGGATTAACGCTATGGTATGCTCACAGAATTTACATATACATCTCCTACCACTAAGTTCTAAACTAAACCACTCTAAATCCTCTACTACATACAAGTACCCCCCCCCCCACTCCCCTTTTTGATATCACCAACCCCCCAAATCAACGCAAGGTAGTAAAAACAAGAAGTAAAAACAAAGAAAAGAAGAAAGAAAAGAAGAAAGAAGAAGTAAAGAGAAAAAATACGGTAAAAAAAAAGAAAAACTACATACAGCTAACTAACTATGTATTTACAAAAAGACCTCCTTCCGCCTAATCCAGATAATCCATCTCCTTCGACCCCGTCCCCAACGGCATCCACGTCCTCTTCCGCCTACGAATACTCATCGGCCTCCACCAATACTCCTTACCCCTCTGCAGCGTGATAAACGCAGTGGGCGTCACATACGTGATTCTATCGCCCAAGAACCAGTCCAGTTTGCGCACCACATCCGGCACCATCGTCCTCGCATACCAGGGCCTCATACCCTTCCCCAGACACAGCAGCTCCGCCCACCTCCGCACCATACTGCGCTCCCTAAACTCCATCCTCCGCCGCCACGCCTCCTTCTCGCTGCCGCCCACATGCTGCTCAATGGACGCGACCCCCGCAGCATAGATCTTCAGCGCATCGTTGATGACCGCAATCGCCTGCTTGGGCATCTTCCGCGCAATCAGGGAGCGCACGACATAGTCGTACATCTCGATGGTAGGCGCCACCGAGTACGGCGGCGCCGTCATAATGCCCCACAGATTGACCGGGCTGTACTTTGGCAGATATGGTGCCGGCGGCCTCGTCGCCACATACGTCCAATTGAGTAACATTGCCCACGTCGCCCTCGAGATCGGCACCTTATACCTCCTCGCCAGATGGTCCACCGTCCTCACCGCGCTCTCCACATCATTATTACTCCCAAAGGCCGCCGCCACCGCAAGCAGCGTATGCTGCGTCGGGTACAGCGGGGAGCCCTTGCCCACCACCGGCGGCGCCGTCTCCTTCCCCGTGGCCAGCGCCCCCACATCCACATCCCACACCTCCTTGAGCGTCCTGCACACACCCTTGATATCGCCCATGCGCGACATGGCCAGCAGCAGCAGATCAAACGTCATACTATTCGGCACCACCCCGCGGTCAATCATGCTCCGATATATCGTCACAGCCCTCGTCCTCACGTCCTCGGGCGTCGACGACCGCATCGCCAGCGTCTGCTCCGTGACTCGCAGCTCCCGCTTAGACGTCACCGTCCCGCACAGCGCCGCCATATATGAGTTATACGCCCACGTGTCCGGGGCCACCCCTGCGGCGGCCATGCGGCGCCAGAGCTGCTCGGCGAGGACACGGTCATTGCCGGCGCGCGCGCAGTTGAGGAGGTGGGTGTACTCGTGCACACCCATCTGGTATCCGTTGGCCTCCATCTGGACGGACACGGCATGGAGTCGTCCCCGGAACCCGTCGTATGAGATGCGCAGCGGGCTTAGGCGCGGGCGGCCTCGGTCGTTGAGGTATGTTCGAGCCCTGAGCGAGACGTAGCGCGAGGGGCGGAGGGAGAGGAGGACGCCTGAGAAGTCTGCGGCGGTGAGGCGGGGCGTGAGGTCTGCGGCGGCGATGGCGGTGAAGTGGTGCCAGATTTCTGGGCTCCTGCGGGCGGAGATGGCGGAGAGGAGGCGCCGGATGGGGCCCTCACGGTTGGTGAGGGGGATGGGCGTGAGGCCCGTTATGGCGGGGTCGAGAGGGGGGGGTGGGGGGGCGGAGGGGGGCGGAGGGGGGCGGAGGGGGTGGTGGTTAAGGGGAAGGGGGGCGTCACCGGAGAGGAGATATCGCCGCCGGGGGAGGCATGGTACTGGGCGTGGAGGCTTCGGCAAGCAGCGGAGACGGGTGCATGCGCGGATTAAGACGGGCTGTAGTCCATTCATAAGGAGAGGGTCGCCCGCCGCGCAATTGATGCGGGTGACAGATTGTGAATGAGTGTAGGTGAGGAGGAGAGAACTCTGCAGTCCCAAGAGAGCTCTTTTGATATCTCGAGGGATTGTCGTTGAGGCGGGAGTGTTGGATCTGGGTAATGGATCTTTTGCTTGATGTGGGGGCGGGCCGAGAAAATTTCAAGAAAATGATAAGCGGCAGCAGGGCCGGGAGTGAATGAGTGAGTGAATGATCGAATTGAGTGGAAATGCGACCGAGGAATTGAGACTGGAGAAACAGCTGTAATCGCTGGAAGGTCTGATCTCTCTATATGAGAAATACCAATTCTTTTCTCTTCTTCTCTCAGCTCCCCAGACTTGTACTTTTCACGGCTGTCTTGCTGTCTGCTCTGCTCATTACCGCCGAGCCCCACCAAAAAATGTGTTCCTGCACGTCGCTCCTCCTCCTCCTCGCTTCTCTTCTTGCTTATCGAAAAGATCTCGCTTGGCATCGAAAAAGAGCCGCAAACCACCACCGTCGATCTTCGACGCGCCGCCGCCAAACGCTCAGCTTCACGTCACCTTCTCTTCCTACTCTACTCTACAGCATCTTTATCTGCTACACTCAATCAATTACCTCATATCCACACGAAAAGAAAAGAAAAAGAAGAAGAAAAAACTCACATAATTTATCTCTTCATAGGCGCCTCTCTGCTGGCAATGGCTTCTCATGACTCTTACGACTCCTACCGCCCCTCCTCCACCTCCCCGCCCCGTCACTCACACCACCACTCCAACTCCCACAACTCGCACAACTCCCACTCCCGTAACACAGCACCCCCGCCCCTCTCACCGCGGCCGCAAAGACTACAATCAACAACCTCAAAACAACCTACAAGAAACGCGGCCATTTCGATACCCTCCGGAAGGACATCTACCAGAACTTTGCCGACTCTGTAGGTTTTTTGCCACGAGAGAGAGAGAGAGAGAGAGAGAGAGAGAGAGAGAGAGACAGCTAAATTAGGAGCTTTCGCTGACAACTCTCCATGTATATGTATAGGAAGCGGGCAAGTCGTTCACCCTACAGATTAAGCAGACAACAACTACAGAGATTGAGCGCGACCCAACACTACTTGTGCGCGACAAGAGCTCGGCGGCGGAGCTGCTCGAGGGTTTTGTGGGGTTGGCCGAGGCCGAGAGGGAGGTGGAAAGGATGCTGGCGGAGCGGAGATGCGAGATTGAAGAAAAGGTCAGGGGTATCATGAGGGAGAATGGGGTCGAGGAGAAGGAGAAGGAGCAGGAGCAGGAGAAGCCGGTGCCCCCACAGCAAGAGAGGGAAAGGGAGACGCAAAGGCAAGACAGGCCTCAGGAGCACCAGGAGAGGGAGCAGGAGATGGCGGAACCTGATCAAATCCATGACCATGCTCATTCACATGAGCCGGACGAGGATGATATGGAAATGGACTTAGTGGACCTGGTGCCTGTGCGCGATGCCACTCCCCCGCCCCCGCCTCCGCCCCCGCCCCCGCCGCCCCCAAAGAGAGAGAGGGTATCTAGGTTTGATGACCCAATTGGTCGGCATCGCAGGAAGATTATCACAGAGAATGGCACGGGGACTGGAACCGTGAGTTAAGTGCGTTGATAGGACCTCTTTTCTTGATTTCCCTTCATTTATTGTTCTTCTTTTCCTTTCCTCTAGTATATTTTATTGGAACCGGTTTGTTGGGTTTGTTTTGTTTTAGTTGGTTTGTTGTGCTGCGAGTATACAGCTCTGGCTTATAGCTGTGAAGATTGCAGATCTTTTTAGCAGATGGGGGGGATAAATATGTAGCTGCATATAGTTGGAGTGCCACATGGGCTAGACACCACTAAGCACCACTGGGTACTCCATGGCGGTTGAGGGAGCACCACTCGCTCTGTTTTAATGTTCACTCTGACGAGTGATAGTGTCCAAATATACGTAGTTTAGTTTGCACTGGCGTCAAGAAAGGAAAGGGAGATCGACGGAATCCGGTATCCCGCCGGGCTGGGAAATTCTACACTGGGCTGGCCGCTGGCGCCTAGGAACAAATTTGTCGCGCAGCTTTCAAACTCCCGCAGTAGTGTTAGGACAATTGATATAACGATTTGTCCATCACGTCCATGTCTGCCCATAGGGCCATAGGGTGAAACCTGGTGTACGTAAACCCGGCTCACTCCTTAGCTTTCGCTGCACTGGTACTGGGGACGCTGCTATTGTCGGAATAAGTAGATAAACCAGTAATGTTAAGCGGTATCTCGAAAGCAGCCCTTATCAGGGTCGAAGGAACTCCTAGCCAAGCAGCAAAGAAACTCCAATCCCCGGGTCGAGTCCATGCTAAGATATGCTTCTCAGGGGTGCTCATTAGCTGGCGTATTATTGCTATCAAATCCGGTTATAATTACTACCCTTCTATCCGCCATTGAGTGTGCAATGAAACCCGTCGGAAAGGCCTACTCCCCCCCAGCCAGGCTAGACGTGCAACTCGGAAACATTAGCCGTCGAGTAATGGGATACTTGAATTGGAACGGCGTTTAAAGAATGGTGGGGATCCGGAGGGAACTGCCGCCTTGTGCACACTCGGCGTTGCGGACGGAGTATGTGGGATGGGGTAGAAGGTATTGGGTGTTTCATCGGCCATGGCCCATGGGACTGGATCGGTTCTGTAAGACTACATTCCGAGTAGCTTTCGGCGAGGTGGATTGTTGAAGTGGTCAGCCTTTCTCCTGGATGGGGACTGTGATAACGTCACCCTGCCTTCCAGATGCTTACTGCGTCTACCCGGAAAGTCGCCACATGTAGATAGATGTGAGTAAATGGCAATTGATGCTTAGATATCACTGAAGTTATTTGTGGGCCAGTTGCTTGTTGTGGGGTGGTAGGAACACTACTACGTTCTAGCATTTCCAACTATTGTGGACAACCACATCATGTACTGTATAGTTTGAACGTGGCTCCAAAAATCCCGTAGGGGTTATACTTTGTTTTTCGTAGAAAACTTGTTCTTTTTCGTTGCCATATTGTGTCGACCCTCTCTTTCTTCTTCAGTCCAGTAAGTCACAACAATGCATTTGTCGTTTCTCGAGTCTTCGACTCGAGAAGACTCAGCATAATGACTGCGTAGTCTTCCTGCAGTACTTTATCGTGGAACCGCCGTGGCTGGGCCCTGAAACTGCATGTTTACACGAGTGAAATCCGTACACGTGTGTGATATGCATGAACGAGTGATATTTCGTGCCGGAACGCACTGCACAAACGTCCGCCGGGAAATCGATATGTAATTTGCTTCCCAAATATGAAATACCCTTTACTTGAACTGGGCCGATTGTGCTTCAAGGGAGAGACGTTAGCATGGCGACGTTGGCAAGTGAAGAGTGAAACAGAGGAAAGAAAAACCCCGTCTCCCATCAATCACGTCGTTTCGACTCTCCACTATATCTCGAATCTCAATGAGCTGTTCTTGTCTCCACAAACAAATCAGTTCATGTACTTGTATCGAGCAAACGCTATGGTCCCGGTGGGGGCACTGGTGGATAGGGCAGGATGTATAGAGTACGTGTAGTTTAGGAGACATGACATGCAGGTCACTAGTATAGCATGGTAACAACTATATGGGTACGCGGACCCCCCCCCCCCCCAGGCCAATCAAGCTGCTTCTTCGTCTCGTCTCCAGGTAGAGCCGGTTATACACAATATCTACCGAACAAAATACACTCTTGTTGTTTGGCTGCAAATCATATCATATCACCCCATATAATTATAAGCCTTCTTGCTTATTCTTTCTCTCCTGCCCTGATCAAAGAAGCATACACACACATACGTACTCTTGTTTGAGGGGGTGTGCGTATTGCAAGGTACAAATAGCCGTGGATACATGTACCCACCGTGCACCACCCCTGGTCGTTGAAGAAGCACATGTAGGGTCCGAGTTCAATTGCGCAGTTCGCGTTAAGTTTAGGTATATTATAAGAATAAGAATAAGAATAAACATCAATAAACAGAAACAAAGTTTTTTCCTTTGATTGCTGCAGACTAGGGATTATGCGAGCGGAAGCTTCTTGGCTTGTTTACCAGGTATTTGTGGTCGGCGCCGGATGGGAAGCTACATCCTCTTCTCTTACTCTAAGTAGAGCGAGCGAGCGAATCGGCCACCTCCCAGGACCGCCGTACGCCGCACCTTTACTTCCAAACACACACCCACAAGGCATCCTTTCTTCTCTACCTGTTGGTGATCGACATCTCGAAAAAGTGCCTTGCTTTGTCTTGTCGCGAACAAAAGGGCACATACGTCAACCCTTCGAAACCTTCTACGAGATCGAGGTAACTTAAGCCTTGAAGTGAACAATTCCAGATCTTGCCCGTTTCAGGTCACTTGTGGAAGGGTAACTCGAGACGTCGGGGTACGTATGCCCGTCGGAGCCTCAAGTAAAATAGGTGGGGGGGGGGGGTGAAATGGGGAAGAAAAGCGGGAAGGTGCGAGTGGCGCTTCGTGAGGTTATTAGGGTTTATGTAGCCGCTGGCTGGGGAATTCACGATTGCACTGCAGCTAACGTACCCCGGGAGAAGTATAAACTCATCGTCAAATAGAAGCAACTAAACTGCAACGTTTCGGATTGTCTTTAATCTTTTGAGAGCAGTTCTTTTTGAGTGCTTAGAAGTACTACTATTTGCGCCTTACTGGTTGGCTGGTTGAGGGTACCAGTATGTTTCCTGCCAAGTGGGATTTGATTCGACATGAAGCTTTCTCGTGACGAGAGAAGGATGCAAAAGAGCTGAATACAGAATTAGGTTCGCAATGGCTATCTAGGGTAGGCTATAATTGCAAGCTCAACTATGGCTCTTTCTTTTCGTCTACTATTCGGGGGCGTTCCAATACCCAATTATCCGCCACAATTCAGCTCCTTGGCAAAACAGCAAGATCAGATCTGCTTGATCCCGGATATGATTAGCTCGGCTCTATCCGAGTTGTGGTCATCCTGGCGACAAGGTCCTTTAACGAAATTTAATCTGAACAATCTATTCGATGTAGCTATCCTCGTCCTTCCTCATCATGTCCGGGCTCCACTCTACCACTCGTGTAGAAGACCGACGGTGTTTTTCTCGCTAGAGTTTGTTTGGAGAGGAATCAATTTAAACCGGGAGCTGGAGATGCCTAATGCTGGTAAAGGGGGTTGCCTGTGGGAGGCGGTTTTGTTGTTGTGGTTAGCAACGGCTACTAACTGGGTACCCCCTTCAACTTCAGTAAGTCCAGACTACTGCTTTCATAACCGTACTACCGTACTAATATTCCTTTCTTCTTTTACTAGACAAGAAAGACATAGCTTCTTGCATGATCCGGAACTCATCCGAGTAAACCCTCACTTCGCTACAGACATAAGAAGCTTTCCTTTTTACCCCGATTTTCTTTTGTGTTGAATGGTTGATGTGAGACACATATGGTTTCATGCCCGTTTTAGGGGGGGGGCCGTACCAGCCCGGCAAGTTGAAATGATCGTCTTGCGGGCGGCTTCATGCACAAATCAAAATGTACCTACGTACAGTGGGTTGTGGATAACTAAGTATAGGATTGCCCCTGTTTACGCGCTATGGACTAGTTCCAGCTTGTACGGTGTCAAAGGGTTATATACATTGGTGGGTAACATCCGCTTCCTTACGAGTTTTGGACTTGTGACTGAACGGGCTTCATCTTCTCTTCATACACTCTTCGAATATTTCGATTCTTTTCATTCCTTCTTCTTCCCTTCTTCTTTTCTTTTCTTACTTTCACCTTATGTTCCTTTGGTGAACAAACCTTTTTTCTCCTCCTTTTCTTTCTTTCTTTCTTTCCTTCTTTACTCTTCGACAGGCTCGATTCTAGCTCTTCGGGCAGTGCCTTGAATTTGTGGTGCAGGTAAAAAATAAACATCTACCACTTTTTATATTTTCCCAGTCTACGTCCGGCACGTACCCCATTTTACAATAACGACCTCTCTCCTGCCCCGAATTGCGAACGCTTCATTGCCTCCTCGCATTCAAAATATTCTACACCTCCAAAAACAATTTTACTCTTTAAAAATATCATTACCAAATTTATCAAGATGCCAAACAACAACCTCCGCCTTAGATATGCATTGTTTCTCGGCGCTGCTGCGGCAGTCTCCGCAATTCCACTTGACCGCCGGGAGGCAGAGGAGAACTCGGATTCTCTGAACCAGACAATTGAGGATGCGGTGCATCTGGATAAGGATATCCAAGCTGAGAAAAACGAGGTTGAAAGCGATGACGAGAGTGATGATGAGGATGACGATGATGATGATGTATGTATTATATTACATTTATCCTCAAACATCCATTAGCTCTATATATACTGATATTTACCTACCCAGTCCTCCCGAAACGACTCCCGAAACCGCCCGCCCATCAGCTCCACCATCTCCGCCTCCCTCCCAACCACTACCTCCACCTCCACCTCCACCTCCACCACCGCCTTCGCCGACACCCTCCCCTCCGCCTCCACCACCACCACCACCACCACCACCCCCACCGCCCTCCCCAACATCCTCCCCTCCCCCGCCAACACCCACAACCGCAACGCCGCCATCGCCGGCGGCACCATCGGCGGCATCCTCGTCCTCGCCCTCATCGCCTTCCTCCTCTACCGCTTCCGCAAAGCCCGCCCCTCCCCCACCGTCTACCCCGACGAGAAGTCACACCCCTACACCCACCCCTACCCCACCGCCCCACCCAGCACCCTCTTCGGCGGCGGCAGCAGCCAGCGCACCGGCGCCGCCTCCGTCGCACCACCACCCACAATGCCAAAACCCCCGCCGCTCGTCTTCATCAACCCGCCGGCGCACAGCGTCGACGTAGGCACCTTCTACCGCCCCGAGACCGCAAACCCCGCCACCACCACCGGCGCGGACCCCCTCCCGCCCGTCTACGAGGAGATGCGCTCCCCGGGCATGGAGTCGTCCATCAGCCAGACAGAGCCGTACCCCGAGAAGGCCGCCGCAAGGAAGATGTATGCGTCGTTTGGCCCGCCGCCGGAGCCGCCGGTGGCCCAGGTGTCGAGGTTCTCGTGGACCACGAGGAGGAGCAGTGTCGATAGTGAGGAGCCGAAGTTTAGGTCTGTCAATAGCTGGGTCTCGAACCAGGCGGGACGGGACGGCGTGAAGGAGAAGCTGGCGCAGATGGGGCTGAAGGCCCCGGGGGAGGTGCCGGCTACGCCTGTCGAGTTTAGGTTCCACCCTGGGGCGCCCGTGCAGTTTGGCGTGGGCCATGGAAGGATGGAGAGTGCGGATTTGGATAGGCAGTTGCAGATGAACTTGGGGAGGCGGTCGTAATTGTGTTGTGCTTGGGTGATTGATGCATACATATGGTTAGTTGGTTTATGAGGTGGGGTGGGGCGTACTTGTCTATAGCCTTGTTTTATTTTCTTTTGTCGACTCGTTTCGATTGCTTTCTTTTGTTTTGATGTGGGGCTTTTTGTGGTTTTGGTTTTTTATTGTTTTTTGGTTGGTGTATTTTAGCATGGCGGGAGGGTGCATGGGGGGTGTGAGCGCTGTATATTGGGGGGCTCGTAGATATAAATCTAATATTCAGTATAAATAAAATATACTCAAACACATTGGAATCATTGTTCTCATATCCTCATCACGTACATGTTGTGGTCGGCGATCAGTTGGACTTGACAGGGTCAATGATTGAAATAAGCTTTGTTCGTCCATCTTGGCAGCAGCAACTTTTCCGGAGCTAGCATTGCACTTTCTACAATATTACCAATGTGCCCAATACTGCCCAAAATCTGTGTGAAACAACATTCAAGACATTTACCAGAAAACCCGGCTGCGTAGTGCATGCAGCCAACAACAAAACATATATGGTATATTACCGCTCAAAACCCCCCCACTACAAACTCTCACTCCCACTCCCACCCCCACCGCCGCTATTACATCTACAAAAACCCATACCCCATCCACCACGTATACCCCGCCACCACCAACGAACTCAGCACCACGGGGCCCAGCGTCATCTCCACCGCCGCCCAAATCCACAACGTGCCCACCGCCGGCGCCCGCTTCATCACCTTGTAGTACCCGTACCTGTTGACCGCATGCACGACCCAGCAGCCGGCCGCCACGCTCACGACGAAGAAGAACAGCTGCACGCTCGCCCAGTGCCGCCGCGGGTGGAACACGTAGAGGAGTATAAACATCGCTGTCCGTCCCCTCTCTGTCAGTTCCTGCTACCTCCAAAGCAAAGGGGAGAGAGAGGAAGAAGAGGTACGAACCAGGAACAGCCTTCACAACCCGCCACACGATCTCCGCCATCTCCACCTCCTGCACGTACTGCTGGTGCACCAGCACGTCGAATGTGAATAGCAGCATGGCCAGCGGACCTGTCCACATCGCGGCTGTCATGCCGGCGCCGAACAGGACCACGTCGTCGTCGTCGTTCGAGGGCAGGATGGGCGTGCCGTCGGGGTGCCGCGGCCGCTTCTCGTCGATGAGCTCGACGAGCGTTTTTGGGCGGGGGGCGCCGTCGGTGGAGGTGGACGTGGGCGGGGGGCGGGAGAGTGGCATTTCGGCGATCGTGATGGGGTCCTTGGTGGGTTTGGGGTTCTTGGGTTTTGCCATTGCTGTGGTGTGGATTTGGGGGGAGGGGGGGGGGGTGTTTGTGGAGTGGTGGATTGTGGAGCGTAAGGTGGGTGATTGTGGTGTGAATAGTTAAGTTGTGAGTACAGTAGGTAGCAGAGGACACGAACGACGGGAGCGGGAGTTGCCGTTCGGCGGGTTTCCCCTGAGCTGGTGGTGCGTGGATTACATAAGACACCAGCACCAGCCCACTGATGCTCGTATGTAGTAGCTATGCGAGGAGGAGCTCTACACACACGCCTTCAACACGGCTGTCGCTGGATAGCAGCTACCTGCCCGCCATTCCACTCCCCTCCGCCGCCTCAGATGCCGCCCGGAGCCCGGTGCGGGTGTAAAAGATGGCCGAGTGCTCTCTCATGATCCAGGTTGTGCACTCACCGCTAACAACCAAGCAACGAGCTGTCACATAAAGTACACTCGCGCGCTGAAACACAGCAATTGCTCTGTGCCGGTCTGAGGGGCCAGAGAGATTGTATCTACTCTATCTACACACTACATACCGAGAGCAAGAAGTAAAGAGAGATAGAGAGAGGGTGTGTGTGTGACGTGGAGACCCCCTGCAGCGCTGAAACCAATATCGACATGTATGTGTACTTGGGGCGAGGTCGAGTAAAAGTGAAGCATCATCAAGGCCTCCGAGGAGGTTATCTCGTCACGATCGGTGCGTTCGGTCGGATATACCAAGCATTGTCGCGTAGAGTGCTCTGGCTACCAGTTACTCGGCGTGGGGGGGGGGGGGGGGAGAGGTTGTTCCTTGTCGATTATGTATAGCAGAGCTCTGAGCAGATACTGGCCATGGGTTATGTAGCTAGGTCGCGGAGGAGGCTAGAGTAAATACTTACTGAAACCACCGCGCATCCATCCATCCCTACCTCTCTCTACTATCCCCAGTTCTCTCTCTCTCTCCCATCCCCCACCACCACCACCACACCACGATGAACCTCCTCCACGCGCTCCTCCTCCCACTCACGCTCACGCTCACCTGGCTCTACGCCCTCACCACGCGCACCGCGCCCCCGCGCAACAAGCGCATCACCCTGCTCATCGCCCATCCCGACGACGAGGCCATGTTCTTCTCCCCGACGCTCCTGGCCCTCACAAAGCCCCACCTCAACAACACCCTCTCCGTCATCTGCCTCTCCACCGGCAACGCCGACGGCATCGGCCACATCCGCAAGCACGAGCTCGTCGCCTCGTGCGCGCGCCTCGGCGTCGCAAGGGAGCGGGTGCAGAGTATTGATCATCCGTAACTTACCCCTTCCCCACTTCTAGTTGTCGTGTGTGTGTGTGGTGGTGGATTGCTAACAGCGGTCGGTCGGTGGGCACAAACAGCGAGCTGCAGGACCAGATGCACAGCCCGTGGCCGTCCTCGACGATCGCGCGCGTGCTGCGCGAGCGCCACGAGGTGCTGCCGGACGTGCTCATCACGTTCGACGAGCGCGGGGTGTCGGGGCATCCGAACCACATTTCGTGTCTGCGCGGGGCGCAGGAGTGGGTGCTAGGGCTGTCGGAGGCGGCGGGGGTGGAGCTGTGGATGCTGGGCACTGTGGGGGTTGTGCGGAAGTATCTGTTTGTGCTGGATTGCGTTGTGCAGGCGGTGTTTGGGGGCGGGCGAGGGGGTGCGGGCGGGAAGGGGGCGGGCTGGTTTGTGAGTACGGTAGGGGAGGTGAGGGTGGCGAGGGAGGCGATGGTGAGTGATCATAGGAGCCAGATGAGGTGGTTTAGGTGGGGGTGGATTGGGCTGAGTAGGTATATGGTTGTGAATGGGTTGGAGAGGGGGTAGTGTGGTGGTGGTGGTGGTGGTGGTGGTGGTGGTGGGGATAGGTTGTGTAGGTAGGTAGATAGTGGTAATGTAATGTGTAGATGGGCATTGAGTGCCCGGTGTCAGGCAGGATCTTATCAAGGTAATGGTCATAACTTCTGCTCCGGAGGGAAATGTGACTACCTTGATCTACGGCCATGACCATCATCCCACTCCCAACCAACCAGTCACCCATATATAAATCTACATGCCACCGCCCTTTAAAAAAAAAAAGACCCAATGGACAACCACCAACACAGTATCGATCCACATCCCAGTAATAGGAGCTAAAGAAGTTGTTCAATGCCCGTGGGTATCTGTATCTAGCAACGAGTGATATCTCATGCATGTAGCTAAGTTTTTCTCTCTCTCTCTTTTGTTTAATTTATTAACTGTATGCAAGTAGCTATATTGTGGTTACCATGGCCTATACTTCAACTTTACATCCAGCCATATCACCCTTATACCAAAAACACCAGATATCCTCTTGTCAAACAACCACAAAGAAACCTCCCATCATACACCCCCCTCCCCCCAAAACCAATCTCTTCTCTAGCTCTCTATCGCACTCCCACACCACACTACACTACACACACATTCAAAATGGGACCCCACGGAATCGTACGCCACCCCCCCCCCCCTTCTCCTCATTATACCCCCACTAACACTGCCACAACTAACACTAACACGCCCCAGGCAGCACTCACGCTCATCACTCTCATCAGCATTGGGCTGACCATTGGCATTCTCTGCAACCGTAACCCCCCCCCCCCCCTCTTCCGCCGGAGGGTATGTGTGTGGTTTGTGCTGATTCGGGTGCAGTTGATGCGTTTACGCCTGTGCCGCGGGTAGATACGGGGGGTGAAGAGGCTACGGAGAGTGGTAGTTAGATGGATGGATATGAGGGGGTTATGGTGCTGGATGTGGTGATGGGTGATGGTGGTGGTGGTGGTTTATGAGGTGCGGTAGATACGTGGACGGGTGGATTGATACGGGGTTGCTGTGTACTTGTACTTTTGGTGATGTGTTTTGGTCTATAAGGGTACGGAAAGGCTAGAGCTAGGGACATGAGGGCCTTGGAGTATTGTGTGTGGGTAGAGGTTATTCTATCGCAGCTTGAACTACCATGTTATTCCGCTGGGGGAAAGATAGCTCTTTTTGGTGGATGCAGACAGCATTACGGCGTGAGTTGGGCTCTCTCAGTGGAATAAGGATCAAAAGGTGTCTTCGCTTGTCGTTCATTGCGTGTGGTTTGTCTCCCCCGAACTTCTTCCCCCATTACGTAGCTCATCGTTGGGATCTGTTAAATTAATTACTCAGGGCCGGGTATACTTGGTGGATAGGGTTTAGTGAAACGTCTCTCATCAGGGTTAGGTGTCCCCCCTAGCCTACTCTGCCCTCGCTCCCTTAAGTATTACTTCCGGCCCTTGACAGTTGTGCGGCGGGTAGTCTAGTGGGTAGATGCCTTGTTCAGCTACACCGTGTGGGTTGACGAACCACCACGACCGAAAGGTTGTGGGTTCAACTCCGGGGGTGGGAGTGGTGCTGTGGTTATATACCTCGCCCATGGGAGAAGGAGCCGCTAGTTGGGCCCGGATCGCCGTGGAGGGGTATATGGCGCAGGAATCACTTTTTGTGTATTTATTTCCCGTTTTTTTTTTTTTTTTTTTTGGAGGGGCCCGAGCATGAGGGTGTGTATGATGGTTGTAGAAATGCATCACAATATATCACTCGATGAGATATTTAGCGCGAATCCGAGTCATTGAACCCCCACGCTTAAATTCAGGTATAACCTCATGGTCAATAAAACCGCATTTTACAACCACCAGAAGATAGGCCGGCTATGTACTCACATGGACTAACTATACTAAGACGGGGTGTGGTGTGTTCTTCGTTTGCACCCGGCCAGTCGTGGTATTTAATCCTTGGGTCCGGGACGTTCGGGTCCTATATACAATCTATCCGGGATCGATGGTGGGGCTGGGTTACGCGCTCCGTGGCGGTCTGTGGTAGCGAACAAGAATGCTGATTATTTCTAGGGTGTTTATGCTTATGGCTCTCGCAGGAAAAAGGCGCGGGGATAAGTCGTTCTCAAGGCTCATAACGAGGGATCCATGCATATATGGGGGGAGCTTCTATAGGGTTATGTCACCCCCGGCCCGGACTAAGGCTGTGCTCTTGTTAGAAGCAGTAGTATGCGTGAGGTGTGGTTTAAGTTGGGCACACCTCTCTTGTGTGCCTGGCTGGACAGGAAGATGGGCCTGTCGTTTGCATCTGTTGGATATTTGGCGTTTCGGATGATGTCAAACGGGTGCGGGCGCAGGTGCGGGTGCGGGCGAGCTGTCATGACGAAGAGCACTGGTGGTCGAAGGGGTACGGGTGAGATGTCTTGTCGAGACCTGTCCTTGTCATGTCGAAGGCAGCTGTCTAGTGGCAGCTGTCCGATCCGTGGCTATATAGCTACATGTAGCCAGTTTCTTTGTCGAGATTAGAATCAAGTCTCGTCCTCGTCCTACATTTTCAACAGCATCGTTGTAGCAGCTGCGAGTGATATTCTGTGCTTGGGACATTCACATGGCTCCTCCGTAACATATGGACTCTATCTGTGTCTCAGCGTGTAGATGAAGAATATAAATAGACCTTTGCCCACGAGAAAGTAAAGTAGGACACCCGCATCACCAGCCATCACCCGTCCCGACCCTAGCCGAGCGTGTTGAAATTACATGTATGGTGCGAGCCTGGGAGCAATGTCCTACGTATATGTACTCATAGTAGTGTCAGCATATGTCATTATGTAGTCATATATAGACTATTCTAGGCACAATATTTGTGTATTTATAAATAAGGCCTTGATCTACCCTCTGTATTATAGTCAAGATCTTCCGCATACCGCCATAACCCGAAAAACTGGCTAGATCAGAATTACTTGTATGGGAAACTTCTGATATAGATCGATGCCATCCAACCAATTATTCAAGCGGTAGCCAATTTTTCGAGTTTTGGCGGTATATCTTTATTTTAACAGAGTATCTTATCCTGGAACCGATCACTGTCTCGCCAAGACCGTACATATGTACCTCTCCCGACGCTGCAGATTAACTATCACTCAGGTCCCAACCCCCCAATAACACCTCAGGCCATATCATATATACACCACGGCTAACCGCGGGTCACGATCAACTGTCAACACCGAGGGGAGAGCTCAATTGCACGCGCAAAAGCAGGTACGCACTTGGCAAACAAACAGCGACCCATTCGATCGCAGGTCCACCCGCCAACTCCGAAGACCGAGGCTCAGTCATATAGCTCATATATAACTACCCAAGCTCCCCCCCTCCTCTCCTCTAAAGGCTCCCGCGTATATACCTACCTATCCAATTCCCCCCCACTCCCCCATCCCAAGCCCAGAACTCGCCCCCAAAGATGGTACTCGACACCACCGCCGCAGCAGTACTCCCCGTCGAGGCAATCCCAGGCCGCAAGCTATGGGAGCACCCCTACCCCAAGATCACCCAAATGCACCGGTTCAAAGCCTACATCTCGTCCAAGTACAACGTTCAATTCGGGCCCGAGACCGACAAGGACACCTCCCTCTGGCGGTGGTCCGTCGAGCACCCGTCGCAGTTCTGGGGCGATGTGTGGGACTTCACGGGGATCGTTGCCTCGCGGCGGTGGGACACCGTCGTGGACGAGGCCGCGAGCATCTATCCGCGCCCGGCTTGGTTCGCCGGCGCGAAGCTCAATTTTGCAGAGAACCTGCTGTTCCCGAGGGCGCTGCGGGGCAGCAATGAGGATCATGGGAAGGTGGCGGTGGTGGAGGTGACGGAGAGGGAGGAGAGGGTGTTTGTGACGTGGGCGCAGCTGAAGGAGAGGGTGAGGGCGTGTGCGGCGGCGATGAAGGGGTGGGTGAAGGTTGGGGATAGGGTTACGGGTGAGTTTTGTATTGCTGTGGGGAGCTGGAGGGGAGTGAGGGGGAGGTGTTTTTACTGACTGGCGCAAGCTGGGTAGGTTATGTTGCGAACCATGTGGACGCACTCGTGGCGATGCTTGCAGCGACGTCTTTGGGTTGCGTATGGTCTGGAATCAGGTATGTTATATTCCATCACACTCTTCAATTTTCACTACAACATACTAATACACATCTACAGTCCTGATCACGGTGCTACAGCTGTCCTAGACAGACTCGTACAGCTCGAGCCCACAATCCTCTTTGCCGACAGCGCAGTCCTCTACAATGGCAAAGTGCACGACGTGATGCACAAGCTCAAACTTGTAGTCGCAGCATTACCCACCCTCAAAGCCGTCGTCGTGATCGACAAGTTTTCACAGTCCCCCGACATCCCCGGCGTAAAGCCCATAAATGGGGACTCTTACATCTACGCCGACTTCCTCTCCACCGCCGCAGACAAAGACGCCCCTCTAGAGTTTCTGCAGCTCGACCCCGACCACCCAGTCTTTATCCTCTTCTCCTCCGGCACCACCGGAAGTAAGCTCCCATATCTCTCCCCTTCTAAAGCGCCCAACTAACCCACCTCTAGAACCCAAATGCATCTGCCACGGCGCAATCGGCACCCTCATCCAGCACAAAAAGGAGCACATCCTCCACTGCGACATGACCTACGCCTCCACCTTCTTCCAGTTCACCACCGTCACCTGGATGATGTGGCACTGGCTCGTCTCAGCCCTCTCCTTCGGCGCCACCATCGTCCTCTACGACGGCTCCCCCTTCCACCCCCACGGCAGCCTCTCCATGCCCCTCCTCCTCCGCGACCTAAACGTCACCCACTTCGGCACCTCCGCCAAATACCTCTCCCTCCTCGAGCAGCACTCCGTGTCGCCCCCGCCCCTCCCGCACCTCAAGGCCATCTACTCCACCGCCGCCGTCCTCGCCCCCTCAACCTTCGAATACGTCTACCGCGCCTTCGGCCCCATCAACCTCGCATCCATCACCGGCGGCACCGACATCATCTCCCTCTTTGGCGCGCCCTCCCCGCTCTCCCCCGTCCACTCGGGCGAGATCCAGTGTCTCGGCCTCGGCATGAACGTGCAGGCGTGGTCCCCCGCCGGCACACAAGTACCCGACGGTACCGCCGGCGACCTCGTCTGCGTCACGCCCTTCCCCTGCATGCCCGTATCCTTCTGGGGCCCCGCCGGCGAGGACCTCTACAAGAAGAGCTACTTCACGCAGTTTCCCGGCGTCTGGCACCACGGCGATTTTGTCAAGATCGTCGGCGAGACGAGGGGCCTTGTCATGCTGGGACGCAGCGACGGAATCTTGAAGCCTGCGGGCGTGAGGTTTGGGTCTGCTGAGATCGTAACTACCCCCCCCCCCCCCCTGGGGCCCTTCCCCCCATCCCATGCAGATAACTAACACACGGCATAGTACAACATCCTCCTCGCGCACTTCCCCACGCAATTCGACGACGCTCTCTGTATCGGCCGTCGGCGGCCCACGGACACCGACGAGCAAGTCGTACTCTTCGTCAAGCTGTCTGCAGGCCAGGACCTAACACCGGAGCTGGTGAAGGAGGTGCGGGACCGGATCCGGCGGGAGCTGAGCGCACGGCATGTGCCGGCGGTGGTGGAGGCGTGTCCGGAGATACCGGTGACGACGAACGGGAAGAAGGTGGAGGTTGCGGTGAAGCAGATCCTGTGTGGGATGGATGTGGCGGTGTCGGCGAGTGTGGCGAATGCGGGGTGCTTGGAGTGGTTTAGGGAGTGGGCGGAGGTGAATTAGACTTTACTAGAGCGGGAGGAAGAAAGGGGGGGGGGGGGGGGCTTGGGGGGGATTGCTTAATTACATGTGCGTAGCTAGATATGGACTGATGGGTAGATGAGATATGATACGTTTCTTGCTTCTAGCTTCTTGATTTTTACTTGCTTTAATAGTATTTCAATGGCCGTGGTACTCGTTATTTTTGTTTCCCTACTGGGGGTATCTATCTAATACTAATAACCTCTTCTTCTTACATCTTAATAATCATCATCCCATATCCTGTCAACGACGCAAAAAACCATAAGTTCAAAGAAAAAAAAGAATCTAACTACCCATACACCCATTACTCCCAACCAACCAATCCCCGCAAACCACCACTACTGGTAATACTCATCACTCCCCTTCCTCCACCCATCCAGCAGGACCAACACCTCCTGCCTGGCATCCTCGATGATGGCGTCAATCTTGATGTCGTTCTTGTCGTAGCCGAATGGGTCTTCGAGCTCCTCTCCGATACTGAGTAGTGTCAGCTAGTGTCACTCCACCAGAAGAATGATAGAGAAATGGAGAAACTCACCCTTCAATGCCGTAGAGCGTGAAGCAGATCAAGGATATGACGGGCACCGTCCACCAGCCCATCTCGTCCACCAGACAGAAGGGGAGGATGCAGCAGTAGAGTGCCAGCACCTGTTTCTGGTGGATCTGCTGACATATGGGGATTGGTGTCAATCTATTCATTCCCGTCCGTTAGCACCACCTTTACTCTTCCGGGAGACCCATAAAGCCAACAAAACCACTCACTTGATAGTCTCCATCTGCCCATACGCATCCATAATGCCATTCAACTGTCCATTCAGCATGGCCGACTGCGGCGCATTAAACGCGCCCTTCCTCGCGCCCCTCTTGATATACCTCTCGACCACAAACCCCAACTCCAGCGCCATGCCCACACCCTCGCCCTCATGGCCCTCCAGGCCCTCCGGCACCAGCATGCGATACTCGGGCTGAAATTCCATGGCGCCCCAATTGCCGCGGAGGTGGTTCTTGACGGCATACATGATCGCGACGAGGGTCTTTACGACCTTCTCTGTCTCGGCGCGGTCCTGGTCGTCGTCGTTGGGCCCACAGACGAGGAAGGAGCGCGTGAGGTTTCGCACACTATTGACGATGGATTGCAGCCCGGTGCGGCCGCCCCAGTAGCGGTCGTAAGAGGAGCTATTGCGGAAGACGAGCATGAGGCCGACGACGATGGAGAGGGAGGGCACGATGGAGGCGGGGATGCCGAGGTTGTAGGCGCTGTGGGCGTCGAGGGAGACGATAAGGAGCGTGAAGAGCGTGTGGATGGAGACGGGGATGATGATGGCGTGGTGGATGGCGCCTTTGATGAAGCGGAAGGCGAGCGGCCATCTGTGGATCTATTAGTTTGCGGTCCTGGTGTTTGGGGATTGTTTGGAGAGGGTTTGGAAAAAAGAGGTTTTACTTCCGTGGCTTCTGGCGGGACGAGTTGCTGAGGGGGAAGGTGTTCCGGCGTTCGGACATGCTGAGTTGGCCGTGGGTGGGGAGTGTAGGGCCCATCGTGAGGTGTGGAGGTATTGCGGTGCTCTGTCTGTCTGGTGATGGAGGAGATTTTGACCTTGTTGAAGATATAGCGGTGGTGGACGAGGAGCTCGAGATAATGTAAATACCCCACCCAAGCAGAGCAGCTACCCAGATACTCGGAAGTAACGGAGGAGGAGGATGGTGAGAGGCGGAGGGGGAGTGTGGTATATAGCTTCCTATCTCTCTCCCACCTCAAACCTCTCTGGCCTCTATCTTAGCACTGCTCCTCTCTCCTCCACTCCTCCACTCCTCCACTCATCTGTATGCAGTAGATCCACTAGATCCCAACAAGCAGTTCACGAAAAAAAAACTGCACCCCAAAAAGCAAACAATCCCTGCCTGATGCAAGGGTACGCGCTCGCTTATGCGCCATGATTCGGGCATTGGGGACTCTCGCGTGACACAGAGATACGTGGTTGGGCTTTCGGCGCGTCATTTCTACACATGTGGAGAGGAGATCAAGCGTTATCGTTTCCCGAACGAGGTGAGCGAGTGGGGAGCTATCGAGAGTGGGGAGACAGACAGGATTGTGTCTGTTAGTTTACCCCTCAGGATGATCCTCACTCAAGTCATGCTTGGTGTTAGGTAAGATGTGGAGTTCTCAGGTAATGGTGCATGGGGGTGCTAGGCCTCTTGGTTTGAAACGTTGACAAAGACTCATGGATTATCACTCGGACGATTTGGCGGGCGTAGTTGGCTGTGAATGATAGACATGGCCATGATTTGGATTCATTCAAGTAGGTACGTTACTATTCCTCCCAGAAGCTATTTGTGATTACCTGATTCTAAGAAGTCGACTTGAATAGCTGTATGTAGTTTGTAGTAGTTTCGGTCTGTGGTTGCACTAGGCTTCCTACCGCTCCGGATAATAATCTATAGTCGAAAGAAGAAGCTCCCACAGCTACTAATGTCTGAGACACGAACCACTCCTCCTCCACGATGCTCGCTCGCAAGATTATTGGTGCTAATCTATTGCCGAAAAGGTAGTCGCTCCGGTAGTTATCGGCCGGTCATCGCCTATGAGCTTCCCAAGGACTTGTCACCTAAAACCAACTTTCGTAGCACAAGAATATCCTCACAGATCATAGAGTGAAAATTCGTATCACGTTCTTATTTTGCCGAGGCAATAGCACTTGCGCTTTTTTTTGGTTCCGCTAGTACTCTACCCGCCGAGCACCCTTCGGTCTTAGACCCCAGTTTAAATCTTTCTTGTACTGGGACGTAGTATCTATCACAATACTAAAGTGGCAGTGCAAAGTTTGCTACAAAGCACAACAGGAAGTGCGGGCCCCATTTTCTTGTATATAGTGATTATTCCATGTGCATCACAATATATCACTCGCCGGACATTCGTGGTAGCGCGATCTCAATAGCCAGGCCTTGATCTCTCGGAGGGGAAGGCCGATAGTAGCAGTATGCCGGTGGTTTTTAGGTGTCTGTTACATATCTAGCTTCACCCCAACCATTTCCAGACCGGCAGTCGCATAGTCCAGTTACCACCTAGGGCGTTTCATTCATCTTTCGGACGCCTTCCGTGCAGCAACAGACAAGTTTCCAGCAGGAATGCAGAGCGGCATGGACCTAGTTCATCATTTGAGTTAGTTACGCTCGTGCGGGAACCTCTGCAATGGATGAAGATTGTGTCGTTAGCATTATCTCTAGATGGCCAAAGGTTCTCTGCCCGGTTCTGGGTGGTGCTCGCCCTCGCAGTATGATCTCTTTAGTGTTCTCTGTATGTTAATCCGTGGTATTTGCGCTTCATCTTTTGGTCTTCCTAGAAAAACACCTAGCCAAAGCCGTGTTCTGGCGTACGACATGGGGTGGAGGGTGGGGGAACAAATCGAAGGACAGAGGGGTGGTAAAGTAGGAGAAGATGTCGTCTCACACCAGACTACAAGTAATCCTTAGTGTTAGGTATCGGCGGGCTGGGTGTTGATGGCTGGGGCTGTACCCTAACTTTGAACCTGTGCAGGGGCGCTTTAAAAGCCACCGGAGAATCCTCTGAACCTCAGAGTTCCTCAAGACTAAACCAACTTCCACCCACTTTAACACGATTCTGCTCACCCACATCTCCTGTTGGATAGAACCAACCAACTACATGTGCCCCGCCAGGGGCTATTGCTTCAGACCAACTGTGCTTAGATTCCTCGCTTTAGGACTATGGATTCCGAATCACGCAACATCCCGGATTTAATTAAGCACAGCTCCCAGCTCGAGGAATGACGAAGGGGGGGCACTCCGACAGAAGACATCAAGCCGCTCTAGAGAGGTGTTACTGGTAGAGATTTTTAGAGGCGAGATGGTGTCAATAGCCTTGCTTTCTAGTCCGTGGTTTGGTTTCTATTGAGACAACTTTGAATTGAGTTTCCGCTCCCTCGTTCTGCTAATCAAGACCTGTCTTTATTGCGACCCGCTTTTCAACATGGAATCATAGGTTATCACTCGCTGCTTCAACCACCGGACAAGGATCGAAAAATGCAACACAAAGCTTCATCCCATTGAAACCGCAATACTCCGTTCCACTTACACACGCACCAAAAAGAAGACACTATTTTGTAGCACATTACATTTACACGACACTCATCAAAAGATCGAGAGAAAGGAAAGAAAAAAAAAACAGTAGCGGACTCTACTGGGTTGTCCAAGCATAACAGGTTGGTATCACAAGAACAGACCATCCCATATAATCCCATCCAGAATCAAAAGAAAGAAAAAAAGATAAACCCCAATTTTGCCTTTAACGTATAACAGACTGGCATATCGAACCTCACTCTAGGCTCACTCTACGCATGTATCGGCAGGTTCTCTTCGTACTGTGGGTCGGTTAGTCACAGCGCCTTCTCATGGACTGCATGCAGGGTAAACAAACCTCAACGAAATCCGTCAACGCAATCAACAACACAAACATTCCCACCAACTCGTTTAGGTCTTTGATATTTTCCATCCGTGGACCTCCAATGTTGGCATGTCTCTTAAACACCGACAGTATGACAGGCCGGTTTTCTATCAGGAATTGTTTCCCTGCGGTTATCGCCTGGCGATTGGCCTGGCCTCTGGAAAGAATACAGGCGACAACAACACGCGTAGCATGCGTGAGAAGCTCATAGTATTTCTCAAGTGCCTTGGGGTCGTTAATTCCGACCCCAAGGTCAGGATCAACAGAGAAGAGCTTGCTCTCGCGAAGGGCTTTGAAGAGACCAGCATTAATGATATGGCCTGCACCGACTCTAGTTTGTGCAATCCGGACGAGGAAGCCGGTGGTTGCCTTGAAAGAACGCATCAAGTAAGGGATGTCTGCTTTCTGTTAGTGATGGTAGGAGGGATATCCAAGGTTGGAAAACCTACCATTAGAGTTTGTGGTCGCTAGGTCCGTGCGGATTTGTTTTGTTGAATCCACGAGTACTACCAAGAAATTCTGTCGCATCAAAGCATCAACCACATAATGCGACGACTCGGCTGTAGCAAGCGCAACAAGTGCCTCCAGAAGTAATAGCGCAACTATCTTGCACTGTCCCTCACCTGAGTAGGCATCGTTACATAAAACCTCCAACAAGCGGTCACCGGACGCCTTGATCGTTTGGATATTGTGAGTGCGAGTGGCGCTCCCTTGCTGCAGAAGGTCCGATGTGCCCTGCAGGGACCGATATGCGATGTTATAAAAGTCTTCGCGTAGCCTTGCTGTCGCCATTGGTGACTGGATGCACCTTAATGAAACCCGGAAAAGGTCGTAAATTCGATCACTTGCCAAGTCGCTTGACCGGCCCTTGCCGAAAGTTTTGATGTCGAATCTGAGATGAGTGATCAGAGAATGTGTCAACGAACTGAGTACATGAGCACTCTCAATATCGCTGCTGCTGTATGACTCGACCTTCGGCATGATAGCTTGCAATGCCTGTAGCAGAAACGAGGTTTTTGCCGCCGGTTCGAATTCACAATCTTCCAACATGACAGCAACTAGCGTTTCCCAAGACTTCAAACACTCAAGTCTTGCGCCTCTGAAGTAACGGAGCTGGTTCTCGGCAAATAGGTAATTTAGAATATCAGCAAGTTCAGCTTGGACCACATCTTCGTCATGAGGGTGTACAGTCCCTGAGGTCAGTAACTCTTGCTTACGTAGCAGTAGAATTTGTTCAATATTTGGTAGGTGAAACGACGGATTGCCAAATTGGTCATTTAGTTGAAATGCTGCAAGGTTGAGGTCATGGAAATAGGTAATTTTTGGAGTTGGCAGGGCTTCGGGCGCTTCTAGTTCTAAGAAGTCGAGAAGGTCAATAATGTGGATATTTTGCATTGGGTCCCCATCGAGATTTGTTACTCCAAGCAGTGTTGAGAGATATTTTGAGACCATTGTTGAGGCCCCTTGAGCGGCCAATTGTCGGATTTCCAGTGCAATATAGTTGAATAATGAGGCCCGTCTTCCAATGTAATTGCAAAGCCCTAAAGCCTTACCCTCTTGGAAGAACTCTAGGCAACCAAATGGAACACCATCCCACGTGCTAGTCGTTCTAAGGACCTGCTCCCCCATGAACTGAGAAAACAGGAGTTTGTTGGCTCGAAGGACATAAAGCATTTCACTTGATGTGGAAGACGCTTTCCACAGCCGTTTGAATACAGTGAAACACTCATTCTTCAGCTGGCACAGAGCCCCATCAAACGACATGCCTTCATCATCCGATACAACAGCATCATCCACAACCGCCAAAATACTATGGAGAAGAGCAATTCCAGATCCAATGCCTCCATCTTCAACACTAAGACTAATGCCGTCTTGTTCGTCGTATCCGAATCCAAGTAAGAAGTGAGCAAGGGTATACTCATTTGGTTGTTCTGATAAACTGCTATTAAGCAATTTTAATATACCAAATTTAAGTGGATATCGCATATCTGGGTTTTCATCATCAACATCCGCATCCCATTGGTGAATGAAATTGAACAAAATCCGACGAGACTCCGGACTTGACTCGATAATCCCTAGA